AAGCTTCCCCTTATTTTGGTAAATAAGGCACCATCAGAACACAGCTACTTGAAGTTGTTTGTGTATTATCTGTAACTGCTTTTGTTCGACATTGTCAGTTAACTGTCAGACAGAGTTTATGATCCACAAAACCTATCATATTTACTATTTTGTTTTTTATGGAGAAATTTTGCCAATTTTTCATTGTCTGTCCTTTTTGAGCAATTAAAAGTAAGATAAGAGTGTTTTTATATTGACCTGTATTTCTTCTGTTTCCAGTACTATTTTTTTGGGTATACCCAAGTCTTTTTTTTTCCCTGAAGGACTTCTTTTAACATTTTTCTTTTGCAGTCTTTTGTAGTTCTTTCGTAAATGGTCTGCTGGCAATGAATTCTCTCAGTTTTTGTTTTTCTAAGAAAACTTTTATCCCTTCTTTAAAAAATAAATTGAGATGAAATTCACAACATAAATTTAAACATCAACCATTGTCAAATGTGCAACGTGGGGTGTTTGGTACATTCACAATGTTCTGCAAACATCTCCTCTAGTTCCAAGGTATTTCCATCACCCCAAAAGCAAACACACAACCTATTAATAGTGACTTCCCATCTTCCCCTCACCCCAATCCCTGGCCACAATGACTCTGCTTTCTGTCTCTAAGGATTATTCTGGATGTTTCAATTAAATGTAGTCATACAACACATGACATTTCATGTTTGGTTTCTCTCATTTAATCTGATGTTTTCAAGAATCATCCATGTTGTGACATAAAGAGCATTCCTTCCCTTTAAAATAATTATGTATTTATGTGTAGAAGAACTGGAGTACTGGCCAGAGGTGTGGGGCTGAGAAGATTCACCAGAGACAGAGCAGGGAGCAGAACAGGCAAGAAATGAAATATACCACTAAGGGGAGCAGCAGGCAAGACAGGAGAGGTCTGCTGTGCCATGTGGGTCAGCTCCCTGGCCAGGGATTGAACTCAGGCTGCAGAGGTGACAGCTCTGTAATTTAATCCCTCTGGCCACCAGGGAGGCCCGTTATTCCTTCTTGAAGGCTGAATAACAGGACTTTGTAGGGTTGTACCACATTTTGGCTATCCATCCATTCAGCTAACTACTTCCACTCTTTAACTATTGTGAATAAAGCCACATTCACCATCAATGTGCAAGTATGTGATTAACTCCCGTTTTCAATTCTTTTGGGTATACCTAGGAGTGGAATTGCTGGGTCCTATGGAACTTCTTTGTTTCACTTTTTGAGTAATATCGAACTGACTTTACATTCTCTCCAGCTTTCTGAAGGGTTACAACTTCTTCTCATCCTCATCAGCACTCATTGCTTTCTGGAATTGTGGCCAGCTACTTGGTGCAAGGTAGCATCTCATTGTTGCTTTGGTCTGCAGCCCTCAGTTGACAGATGATTTGCTTGGTGGTCATTGTGTTATCTTCTTTGAAGAAACATCTATTCAAGTTTTTTGCACCCTTTAAATTAAGCTGTTTGTCATAAAGGTATATTCTAGATACCTATCCCTTACAGACATGATTTACAAACATTTTCTACTATTCTGAGTTTTCTTTTTACTCTTTGATGTTTAGTCGTGATGAAGTCAAATTTACTCATTTATTTCCTTTTGGTAACATATCTACAAATAAGGATGTCAAAGTCTAGATAGTGAATGAACATTTACTTCAACGTGTTCTGCTAAGGGTTTTGTAGCCTTAATCTTTTATACTTAGGTCTTTTACCCATTTTATATTCATTTTTTATAAATGGTGTGTGATAAGGACACTTTATTTTTTGTATGTTGATATCCAGTTCTCTTAACATCATTTGTTGCAGACTGTTTTTTCCATATTGAATGGTCTTGGTAACTTTGCTTTTCTGGGATAAATCACTTTACCAGAGTGAAGATTTATTTCAGACTATCAATTTTATTTCCTTGGTCTATAAGCCAGCACTACTGTTTTATTTACGTAACTTTGGAGCAAGCCTTTAAAGTGGGAAGTGTGACTCATTTAATCTTTTCCAAGACTGTTTGGCTATTTGTTTTTTTTTTAAACTCCAAATGAATTTGAGTCAGCTTTCTTCCACTTCTACAAAAAAAAAAGTAATTTAGAGTTTGATAGGACTGATAGAATCTCTAGAATAACTTTAGGAATTATTACCCTTTTATAATAGTGAGTCTTCTAATATGTGAGCATGAGATGTCTCTCCATTTATTCAACATTCTTAGTTTCTTTCAGTAGTGTTAGAATGTATAAGGCTTGCATCTCCTTAGTTAAATTTATTACCAAATACTAAGTTCATTTTTATGCTATTGCAAATTAATTTTTATTTCTTTTTGGCTTGTTATTATTTATTTTTATTTTTTATTGAGGTAACAGTGCTCTGCATTATCGCTTGTATATTAGATGTAAAAGCTTTTCCCTCTCAGGAGTTGTTACCACATCGCCCTCTCACCAAAACTCCCAGTGTCCACCCCCACTAGTCACTGTTGCTAGTGAGTAGAAATCCTGGTGAGTTTTGTATCCTGCAACTTTGCTGAATATGTGTATTAGTTCTATTGTGTGTGTGTGTATGTTTAGGATTTTGCTACATATACAATCATGTTCTCTCTGAATAAAGGTAGATTTAATTTTTCCTCTTTATTTTTCTTCATGATTGCTCTGACTAAAACTTCTAGCATAATGTTGAGTAGAAATGGTGAGAGTCCTGTCTTGTTCCTGATCTAAGGGAGAAAGGGGCCAATCTTTTGCCATTAAGTTAGTTGTGCACTTTTCTTATGTGCCCTTAGTCATATTCAGGACACTGCCTTTCATTCCTCATTTGCTGGGTGCTTTATCATGAAGCATGTTAAGTTTTTCCAGAGGTTTTTACTGCATTATTAAGATGATTTTGAGGGTTTTTAAAAATTCTCTTAATGTGGCATAATAAGTTGATTTTCCTGACTGAACCATGTTTACACTTCTGGAATTAACCCCACTTAGTCATGATATAATCTTTTTAATATCTATTGGATTTGGACTGCTTTTTATTGAATATTTTTGCAGCTGTTTTCATAAAGGGGAGTTTTTTTTCTCTTGATGTGCATATTTGGAGTTATGCTGACCTCATGGAATGAGTTGAGAAGTGTTCCCTTGTCTTTCTCCTCTCTCTCTCTCTCTTTCATGACATTGAGAAGGCTAATTCTTGAAATATTAGTAGAATTTATCGGTGGCACCATCTGATTCTTTCTTTCCTTTGTTGGAGGTTCTTTATTATTAATCCAATCTTTGTTAGGTCTATTCAGATTTTCTATTTCTTCTGAATATGTTTTGGTTGTATTCAGAATTACTAAAGGTTGAAAAAAAAGTATGCACTACATATACCTACATTCATGGAAAGAATCATCATTTCCTTAATTCAATGTTACATTGGGATTTTTTTCATCTCAAGAAGTAACTTTACAATCATGTTGTTTAGAAATAAGAAGGAAAATATTAAGAGACTTGACTAAAAGTCATAACAATTCTTTTTTTTTGACAAAAGATGACCCTTTATTTCTTTATATATGTATATATATATATATATAATAGCTTATTTTTACATTTTTATATTTTTTGTGCACTTTTTCATCTCAGTTGCTATCCCCTTGGGCTTCCCATCATCAAATCACCCATGTGCTATCACCATAGACCAGTGCATTTTCCTCCCCCCAACTGTTTTTGATCCCATTCCTCACTCCACCCCCACAAAATGTCTCTGGTATACAGATGTTCATTATTATTATTTTCTCGCTTGGTCCGGTATACTCCTGCTATGAGTGAAACCATCCAGTATTTTCCCTTTTCTTTCTGGCTTATCTCACTAAGCATGATCTTCTCCAGCTCCATCCAGGTTGCTGCAAAAGACATGTATAACAAAAATTCTTTACAGGAAAAAAAGCAGTAGAGGGATGCTTTTTTTTACCTTAAGAAATATGGCAGAACACATCAGAAAGCACTTTCTAAATTGGACCCCAAATACTCTGGACATCTCTAAGAGTTATCAGCTCCCCCTGACTCTAGAAGAATCTGTCCCAACTCAAATAATATCTGTCTTCATATATAGTGAAAACCATCATGTCAGTCTGTCCTAGATCATAAGCAATGATACTATTGGCAACAAAGAGAAGTCTGTTTCACACCCACACCATTATCTCCTTTCAAGTGCAGAATGTTAAGTGACAGCCTTTGAATACTCAGATTTTTCCTGACTGGAATGGTTACTTGGAGGACCAAAATAAGTGGCATAACCTGAGAACCTAAGAAAAATAACCCAAACAAGATACTCAAGTTGATTGAATAGTGAAAATCTCATTCTTCTTAAAAGATATTATTTTGGACACAATTTCAGTTGTATTCTTTAATGTGTCCCATTAGTTAGAACATTTTGAAATAAAGAAACGATTGACAATGTTAAAAAAAGAAAGAAAGAAAGAAATATGGCAGAACAATTAGACTCTTTGTACCAATAAATAAAAAGTAACTTAATGAATCCACAAAAGGCAGTTCTATTCCAGGGTGCCAGGACCCAACCCCAACCTCCACCTTGGCAACCATGTCACCTGGTCAAGTCTACGTGTTTGTTCTCTCTGAACTTCAGTTTTCCCATCTGAGACATGGAGATAATAACAGTAACTACCACATAAAGCTGTCTGGGAGACAGCAAATATAAAGGGCTTGAATATCCTGCAAATGGAAACTTCTTGCTGCTATCAGGCTCACCTGACCAACTTAATTTCCCTCTTGGCTTAGCCAGAGCCACCTGGCCACTCCAGAACTCCCATCTGTGCTACTGACCGATTGTCTGACCTTGGGCACATCTCTTCTCCCAGAGGTCCTATGAGGTGTCTTCAGAAGGTCTCTGAACTCAGCCAGCACCCAAGTCCTAGACACTCAGGCCCTGCCCAGTGTCCAACCCCTCCCCCTGAGGATCAGGCTTTGTTTGCTTCTAAAGACCCAAGATTTCCAAACTCTGTGGTTGCCTTGCTTAGCTAAAAGGGGAAGAAGGGGATCAGTCCGAGGAGGAGGAAGAAGAGGAAGACAAGTCAAACAGCCCGGTGTAGCAGAGAGGAGTGAATGTCCAGCAGTCCTGGTCCCTAACAGCTGGGAGCCCAGCCCCCTGCCTCCACCCTGCATCAACCTGAACCTCCTCTGAGGCCATGGGCCCCAGAGCACTGCTCTTCCTGCTAGTGGCCGCAGTTCAGCATGGTAAGAACAGACTGGGGGCTTCGATGGGGAAAATGTGACCGCGCGGACCCCTGCCCTGACAGGAAAAGAAGACCAGAACCCCTTGCTCCTCACTGGGCTTCTGCCCCTGAGTCCTGCACAGGTTTGTCAATATCTGCATCTGGGAAGCAGTCCAGGGACAGAAGGGTCTGGACGGCAGTAACGGCAGTACATTCGGCCTGGTCAGGTGTTGACTCACCTGAACAGATCGCAGCTGCTCTCCGGGCACGTCCACTCACCAGCAGGTAATGGAGGCAGTGATGGATGGACCAGACAAAAGCAATGCCCTGCGCGCAGATCACCAGGGGGTCTTGTGATAATGCAGATTCTGGCTCAGTAGCTCTCAGGTACACCTGACGTTCTGTATTTCTAACAAGATCCCTGGAGATGCCAAGGCTACTAAGGTGGAGAATAACACCGTGTGCGAGGCCGATGGCTCTGCCCGACTCCGATTTGCAGAGTGGCAAGGCCAGACATGGCGGTGGCCCAATGCTGGGAGACCTGGGAAGGGGGTCAGATAAAAGAAGTCAATCTCTGGCCCAGGGACAGGAGAAGGGGGATGTATAGGGTTGGAGGGGTGTCTCTGAGGAAGAAGTGAGCATCTCCCCAGCCAGAATTTCCACAGACACAGAAGTTTCTAGGTCTCAGGGAAGGAAGCTGCTTGGTGCATCCCACATCACCTCAGCCTCCAGCAGCGGCAGTGATGCTCTGCTGCCAGCTGGGAGGGTCTTAAATGGGAGCGAGGGCTGCTGCTTGGCTGGCAGCTACAGCTGGCTAACTGCCCTCTGTCAAGTTTTATCTTGTGGTATCTTAGAGGGACCTTGGGAGAGGACAGGGGTTGGAATGGGGTGGGGAGGCAGCTTCTGCTCTGGCTTCCCCTCAGTCCTGGGACTCTGGGACTCCAGAGGGCAGGTGGGCCTGGGCTCTGAAGAGGTGGCCCATCGAAGTCTTCTTTTGGTCTAGTCAGTCTCACTGGACTTGATCTTTTGTATCGGATGTAATGTATATGCAGTAGAAGACACAGATTCTTCAGTGTACATTTGAGGAGTCTTGGCAAATATATGCTCTGGTATACCCACAATCCCAATTGAGACAGAGACGATTCAACCCACCTCAGAAAGTTTTGTGCATTTTATTCACTGCCTTGTCCCATCTGCACACCTGGAACCTGCCAGTGGGACATTGTTGGGTTGGAAAGAGGGTGTTCAGCATGGCAGACTGGAAAGCTAATTTCAGTCCAGTAGACCAGAGAGATGGAGTGGGGATGTGGGGCCGCTGTAAGAGAGTGGGGGCATGTTGGAGCGCTCTGCAGAGCAGGAGAGACCTGGGCTGAGGGTGGCTATGTGTCAAGCCTTGTGCAGTGTGTGTGCTGAGGGTGGGGTAGATGTGGGGACACATCCCGGGCTGCCAATGGGGGAGTCCATTAGCCAAGTATGAGGAGCGGTGAGATAGGCAGCGTAGAGGCTATTTGGAGCTGACAGGAGAGGGTGAAGATGGACAGAGTAGGGCCTTGTCAGCGTCAACACTCTCTGTCTGGCCCTGGAGAGGATGGGGCCCGAGCAGGCTGTCCCTTCCTGCCAGCCAAGCCCTCAGGGGGAAGTTGGGAGCGGAAGTTGAGGGGGACAGCCTTGTCCTGCATGAATATCTGGACAACAGGACAGAACAAAACAAAACAGATCTTTCTCTCTGACCACATTTCCAAGAGCCCAAGTCAGGGGTTAGCAGGACAAGGCAGCAGAGGGGTGGAGAGAGACACCTGTAAGACTGTGGGCACAAAAGCAGAACATAGCATGAAATCACAGAATCTAAGACCTTGGCATGCAACCATCGCAGACAGTCTCAGGCGGAGGAGGGCGAGGAGAAATGTCAGCTGGTGGCCCAGCGGAGGAGAGGCCTCTGAGTCTGGGCATCATCTCACTGAACCCTCCCAGGATCTGAGGTGGAGTCAGAGGGCCCCACTGCAACAAAGAGTAGCTTGAAGGTCAGAGGGGTTAAACCCCCCACCCGGCTGGTCTTGGAGAACCAAGCTGCGGCCGCCCACCCTCAGCCAAGCACCTTCCTGCAGTAGCCCGCTAGGGTCCTGCTGCAGCAGCAGTAACAGTGCGTCGCCCCTTCTGCCAGGATTTGCCAGCAGCAAATTTCTGTCAGTCACAGGGTCCTATTTCTGTCAGTCACAGGGTCCAGGAGGGCTACACCCACACCCTGGAAGTGGGCCCTGGGGGTGCTTAGCACTCGATCTCTCTGCTGACCAGACACACAGGTAGAGCAGTGCCCATCTCTGATGGGCACAAAATTGGCATCAGTGAAGCTATCCTGAAACCACTCGACAGAGGCCCTGCCCATGCAGGGGCCTGGGGTGGGTCGGGGGGAAGGAAGTAGAAGTCCCCATTTAAGGAGCATTTGTGAAGATAGTATAGAAGCCTTGAATTTACCCGTGTCCTGGGGGCCAGGGTGCCCCCAAGTCTAGGAATAGATGCGGCCCAAACTGGAGGTGCTGCACACCCCCCTCCAAGGCAGCAAGGGAGTCAGTGGCAGAGCCAGACCCCGCAGCCCAGGGTATCCTGATGCCAGGGCACCCCTCTCCTGGGGATGTGCTCCTGGACAGGAGACAGTGGCCAGGAAGCAGAAGTGAGAACATCCCTAGGAGAGGGTGCAGGCTGAGCGGAAACCGGGGGCCAGGCTGTCGCCAGCAATGTGTTTCCGCCCACATGGTGGGGAGGGCCTGGCAGCCCCCCTCCCCCCCAGGCACTGAATCAGTTCTCACTTCCCTCCCTCGTCCTTATTTTTGGCCCTGGAAAAATGCTGACACGGCAGAGGCAACAGGCCTTCTTCCCGGAGGGACTGTTATGGGTTTCAAGTTCTCTTTTCTCCTTCAAGAAAATATTCCTTAAAAGAGATTGGCTCTCCAGTAAACATGGGGTGTCCCGGGGATCTACAGAGGGTAGCTGAGCTAGAAAAGGCAATGATTAACCATAAGCATTTATTTGGTGACAGGTGACATTCTAAAGGCTTTTCATATATTTAAACCACCATAAATCCCAATCACTGGATGCAATGGTTGCCCCTGATTTATGGTGGGGAGACTGAGGGCAGCCGCTGCACTACCATGTTGGGTGGGCACAGCACAAGACTCCTGGAACCCTCTAACTCAGCTGAGTGAATACCCAATATCCCTCTCTTTTTCTTTTTCCCCACAATGACATCTGGGGACATTCTCCCTTCGCCATTCTAGCCCCTTTCTTTGAACTCGCCCTGGGCTCTGCGCTAGGGAAGCAGTGTGGCCCTCTTTGCATGGGGGCCGAGGTGTCCACTCTTGGCTAGAAGAACAATCTTCTTCCTGCAGCCAGGGAAGCTGCAGCAGGGTATAAGGAGAGCCTCGGGGGGATGGTGTGGGGGTCGAAGATCGAGAAAGCTGCCATTCCCCTTTTTCAGGGGGCCTGCTGCACACACAAGCTTGGAGTGAGGCCGAGCAAATGACGAAAGAGTGGGGCAGTGCTTGTTCAAAATGAGCCCACAAATCACAGCTGAACCCAGCACACCCTCCTGAGTGGCAGGGGTGCCTCAGAGGTACCCCCTCGGGCCCCACTTAGGACTGCCACCCTTTCCACAGCTCGAGGGACTCCAGTGATAGAGCCCAGCGGCCCTGAGTTGGTCGTGGACCCAGGCACGACAGTGACCCTGCGGTGTGTGGGCAACAGCAGCGTGGAGTGGAAAGGCCCCATCTCCCCCAGCTGGACCCTGGACACTGCCTCCCTCAGCAGCACTCTGACCACCACCAATGCCACCTTCCAAGACACAGGGACCTATCACTGCACAGAGCCTGGAGACCCGATGGGGGGCAGTGCCGAGATCCACATCTACGTCAAAGGTGAGGAATCTGAGACCAGGGCCAAGAAGCCTGGCCTGGCCAGTCCCGTGGGAACCGGGCTTCCGGTTTCCACGAGGACCTGGGTGGGGCCTGACTGCAGGTAGTCCTCACAAGAACCCTGTGAGGTAGCCACTGTTCCCAGCCGTCTGCCAGTTCCCAGACAGCTTACGCAGCAGTCACACCACGCTAAGTAGCAGGGCTGGACTGGGCTCCAGAATCCCCACTCTGAAACTCGCCGGTGGGATGGTGTGGGGGTGGAAGATCAAGAAAGCTCCCAGTCCCCCTTTTCAGGGGGGTCTGCTGTACACACACGTTTGGGGTGAGGGGCTGAGCAAATGGCCAAAGACCTCAGGCAAAATGGCATCTCTGAGCCTTCCTGTCACCAGTGTCCACGGGTCGCATGGTCTGGTGCAGCCGTGACACCATGTCCCCTTCTCCCCCAGACCCTGTTCAGCCCTGGAGGCTGCTGACACAGGAGGTGACGGTGTCGGAGGGCCAGGATGCCTTGCTGCCCTGCCTGCTCACCGACCCGGCGCTGGCAGGCAACATCCAACTGATGCTGATACGCAATCGAAAGGTCTTGCGCCAAACCAACTACTCCTTCTCGCCCTGGGATGGCTTCACCATCCACAAGGCCAAGTTCATTGAGAGCCGGGACTACCAATGTAAGGCTTGGGTAGACGACAGGTGGGTGTCTTCGCCCAGCATCAGACTGAAAGTACAGAAAGGTACGTGGGGTCGTTGGGGTTGGCGGACTAGGCCAAGCAGGGGGAAGGGCAGGTCAGGGGAGGGAACAAGTTACCCCGCTCTCTCACTTCTTTCTTCCAATTGCACTATGTTCATGGACGGGGCACCTCCCGGAGCAGGACGTGCTAGGTGTGTCTGCGGAGTCAGACCACGTGCCAGTTAGTCCTTCCATGGCCAAGGTCACATCAGAGCGAAAGACTCTGTAAAGATATTAAACAAGGCAATGGAGTGGCCGGGGAAGGGGATTTTACTGCTGTTGAAAATGTGAACGAGGCGGAGACCCTCAAAGAGAGCTGCTGCCGTAGAGGAAATAGCACAAAATCACGGGGAGCCGGCAAGGTCCCAGTGCTGCAGGAGCAGGAGGGCCGGAGCTCCCCCACACCCTCAGGCGAGGATTCCCACTCAGCCGCAGCCTGGCACTGGTGCTTCTCACTGGGCACGTGAAGGAAGGGTGGCAGGCAAATGGGACGGGGAGCTGCTGGGTGCATGGGGCAGGAAGAAGGGTGCAGGAGCTGGCTGTGTGAAGCCTCACTTCTTGCCTTTGGGCCCTGCCACTGGTGGCTGGGCGTGGTTTCTGGAAGGGCTGGTGTGAGTAGGCAGGGGACTCAGCCCCGGGGTTGCAGACAGGCTCAGGGCCCTCTCATGAGGGCCAGAGTCAGATTGGCCTGGCTGGCCTAAAGCCCAAGCGTCCAGGAAGTCAAGCCAGTTCAGTCATGACCCCTTTGGTGGCCTTCGATGAGTCCTCAGTATGTCTGGAGCTTGGGAGCCTAGAGTAGATCATCTCTCGACAACAGCAACCACCATGAATATTAATTCAATGCCTACTATGTGACAGGCCGGGGATCCCTATGTGCTAGGGATACCGCCTTGACGGATTTGCTGTCCTAATGGTAGGACAGGGCCAGAGATGACAGAGCGTAAATAATGTGCCGATTGTGATGAACAAGAAACCAGGCCATAGAAAGCTGGGGGCAGCCGGAGGGGGTGGGGATGGGTGGCTTATTCAGCTGAATTGCTCCCACAGGGCCTCTCTGAAGAATTTTTGAACTAAAGATCTCTTGGTCTCTTGAGCTGAGAATAGTTGCCCATTCAGAGACTGGGAATAAAAGCATTCCAGAAGGGAAGGGAAGGTGCAAAGTTTGGGTGGGAGGATCAGCCAGTGTGACTGGGCCTGGAGACACAGGAAGGACTGTGGCTTTCTTCCAAGAGTGACAGCTGGCACAGCAGAGAGGTATTGTCCAAGTACGTTCCTAAGAGCTCACTTGGTGCGTGGAGGGGCCTGGGTGTTAGAAGTGGTCCTGTGGAGACCGTAGTAGTCCAGCGAAGAGAATGGCAGGGAGACCATGGAGCAGTGGCGATGATGGGAGGAAACAGACTTTCTCAGACCCATCTGTGAGACAGGACTTGCTGTGGGCACTGCTGAGGTACCAAGTCTGCCCCCAGGGCTGGGATGAGAGACTGGTGGGGCGGCTCCGGGCAGAGACAGGTGGCAGCCCGGCCTGGGTGTTCACGGCTCCTTCCTCTGGCTTCAGTCATCCCAGGGCCTCCAACTTTGACACTGAAGCCTGCAGAGCTGATTCGGATTCAAGGAGAAGCTGCCCAGATCGTGTGTTCAGCCAGAGATGTTGATATTAATTTCGAGGTCTTCCTCCTGCAGGGAGACACCAAGGTCAGTCTTTGCAGGAATAACAGGGCGATGCCTGTCCCAGTCCCCAAATCAGGTCCTGCCCCTCCAGCCCATCTCAGATGGTCTTCTGGGGCAGAGCCCAGGCCCAGAGAGGGTAGTGGACTCACCCAAGATCTGTGCCAACCAGTAGCTGCCCTAGAACCAGGACTAAGGTCATATATCTGCCTCATGGGTGAGGGAGGCAGCACCCACCCCCGTGTCCCAGCTTGCAGACAAGAGCCCAATGCCAGCTCACTACTGACTTAGCAAGGGGTTCTTAGCCACCCTGGAAGTCCAAGGATCTAAGAGCTGCTTCAGAAAGACTTTTGGGGAAGGGGAGACTGCCAGGAAGTGGACTTTCTAAGAACCCCTGCCATCTCACTGTGCCAGGCACATGTCAGTCCTCAGGATCGCTGCACTACCACCCCAGAGCAGGACTGTGTTAGCCCCATTTTACAGAGGAAGAAACTGAGATTCACGCTTCAGTCCCTTGTCCAAGGAAAGGCACACAGTAATCCTTAAAGACTGATGATCCGTAAGTGATCAGAAAGTGTATATCTTGACTATACACCCTCTGACTACAGCTCACAATCAATCAAAAAACCGACTTCCTGGACAATCGTTACCAAAAAACCCTGACCCTCAACCTGGATCACGTCGACTTCCAAAATGCTGGCAACTACTCCTGTGTGGCCTCCAATGTCCAGGGCATCAGCTCCATGTCCATGATCTTCCGGGTGGTAGGTGAGCATCAGGGTGGTGGGGTTCCTGGGGGAGGAGCGCGTGGATGGGTTGAGGAGGGTATTGATGGCAGAAGAGGAGAGGCTGTTAAGAACAACCCCACTCAAAGCCCTCATCCTGGACCTGACTGGGGACAACATCCCAGAGGACCTCCCCAGGCCCTCCCGCCGGCCCTCTCTCTCCCTGGTGCTCCCACCGTGTGTTGCTGCAATTCCATGCAGCCCCATTTGTTCTTCTGGCGTCCACGTCCAGTTGTCCCTCAGTCCTTCCTTCCTGCATGCTGGGACCCTAACATCTCACGGACATGTGAACAGACATTGGTGTCCCAGTGGCACTGAAGTGTCCCTCAACCCAGGCAGGGACACAGTGGCCTCTGGATGGGGACAGACAGAGTGGAGGCAGGTCAAGGGTGAGAAAGGAAGCAGAACATCTCTAGAAGAGCAGGCAGCAGCGCCACATCCCAAAGATAGAACGTGTTTGACACAGTGAGGGGTTGCCCAGCCCGGGACTGTGGAGGAGAGTGGCCATAGGAGAGAGGGATGGGAAGAGTTCAGATGAGGCCTTGAAGCAGTAGCGAGCTGGCCCTGCTCCCCACTAGGGGTCACGGGAAGTTTTAAAGAGGAAGATGGCCACATCAGACTGCACAGAGGAGGTTCCCCTGTGGTGGCAGGGGGTCCACACTCCCCAGCCGGCTGTGTTCTGTGTTCTCTCCGGCTCTGCAATGGCTAGTGATTTGCTTAACTTCCCTGTGGCTCACTTTCCATCTGCTAAATGGGGATAGTAACAGTTACTGCCTCATAGGTTTGTTGTGAGAATTAAGTGGGTGATAGGTGACAAGTACTTAGACATGCACCCGGCACACCGGCACACCTCCATGGAGAAGGAGAAGGTGGAGCCTGTGTGTGTGCCGGGGAGGCAGGGCTGGAGGACAGGGTGGGGAGCGTGGTGGTCCAGGCTGGAGTGGCCAAGAGCGCTGCAGCATGTTGCAAAACAATCTAGGAGGGATGATAGACAAGACTTGGTGGCTGCGGGGGTGAAGGGAGAGACTCCGGAGGAGCTCCTGCTGTCGGGCTGCGGCCCAGGTGGGAGCAGCAGGCGTCAGGCTGGGGGTCCAGCAGCAGAAGGGGCGGCCTCCGAGCAGCGGGCAGCTGTGGTCCGGTGCTCAGTGTCACGGAAGACAGCGAGGAGGGCGAGCGCCCTGAGCACTTCTGCACACACATACATGAGTATGTGGTCAGAAGGGCAGCAGGAGTGATGTGGGCGCCCTCCTGCACTGGGCGCTGGGTGCCTGGGAAGGAGAGAACACATAGAACTGTCTCCCCGCGACGTTTATTGCTCCTGCGTCTACTGGGAGTCACTTGATGAATGTGCGTGTCCCTTCACGCTTCTGGGCAGATGCTGTTCCAGAGGTTGAGGACAGCTGCTGATGAAAGGATATGAAACCCATTGCCCTCGTGAAAAGGGCTTGAGTTGAGAGAAGACAAGCAATGGGGAATATAAAACACAAGTCAACTCCGAAGTTTAAAATCGGCTCGTCCTCAAGGACAGTCACACTGGGGAGCTGGTGGCTGAGCACTCGAAGGGGAAGAGGAGTGAGTGCGCAGACGCTGGGCAAGCACCCAGAGGGCAGGGCTCACGGCCTGTAAAGAACACAGCCAGGGGGGCGGGCCACGGCCAGAGGAGGCGCGTGCAGAGATGGACGGGGTGGGGGCGGGTGGTGGTGGCAGCTTCCACAGCACCCTGCAGGCCAATGTGAGGGTGTGGGCTTTTCCTCTCAGAAAGATGGAGTATAACTGGCATGTCAGGGCAAAGGAGTGATGTGATCTGAGTTGGAGTAATGAGATGTAACATGATGCCCAGGCTTTGTCAAGGACTCTAGAAACAAGGAGAGAAGTAGGCTACTGACATAGTCTGAGCTGGAGGTGAGGGTCGCTCCATTGGGGTGGCAACAATGGAGGGGGTAGGAGTAGCTGGAATTTGGATGGGTGAATGGATATAAGTCGAGATTGAAGATAAGAGCTTCTGTGCACTAAAAACTCTAGATTCGGGGCCCTCCCTGGTGGAGCAGCGGGTTAAGGTACTGCACTAAGAAGCTAAAGCCGCTTCAGCACGAGTTCGATCCCAGCCCCGGGAGGTGACCCACATGGCACGGCAGACCTCTCCTGACCCGTCTGCTTCTCCTCTCAGCAGTGTACTGTTCCCAAATCTGTCTCTGGTGAATCCTCTCACCACCCCTGCCCCTCTGGCCTGTACCCCAGCTCTGTATGCGTAAATAAATAAATCTTAAAAAAAAAAACTCTAGATCCGTTGGGGAGACCCAGAGGCAGGAAGTAGTATAGTGTGGGTGTCATGAGTATGTGGCCAGAAGGGCAGCAAGAGTGTGTTCTGAGAGGGAGGGAGCATCCTGGGCTCTGAGGCTTCTTAGAGGGGTTATGCCTTTAGTAAGGATGAGACACACCTAAGTGGAAGACGGGGTTCCTGTGGGAAGAAATGGAGCAATACCTGCAGGAGTGAAGTGACTGTAACATATTCAAGTAACTTTAGTGGACCCAGGTGGTGGAGCATCAGGTGTGTGCCTGAGGGAAAGACCCACACAACAATGTAGAGCTGAGAGTTGGGAAGCAACAGATTCTTTTTTTTTTTAAGATTTATTTATTTGTGCATACAGAACTGGGGTACAGGCCAGAGGTTCAGGGGGGGTGAGAGGCTTCATCAGAGACAGAGTGGGGAGCAGAACAGGCCGACTGACGAAGTACACTGCTGAGGGGGGTAGCGGGTGGGTCAGGAGAGGTCTGCCACGCCATGTGGTCACCTCCGGGGCAGGCGGGAATCGAACTCATGCAGAAGTGGCTTTAGCTTCCCAGTCTGTGCTTTAACCCACTGCGCCACTAGGGAGGGCCAGCAACAGATTCTTATCCATGGTATCCAAATTCCTAGATCCAACCTGAAACCCAAATCTGTGGACTTTTCAGGTATAAGGACAATAAAATATCTCTTTTGATTAGGCCAGCTTGAGTCCCTGTCTGTTACCTGCATCTGGGAAAAGAATGCTGGCCAAGTCCTTCTAGCCAATTCCATCTAGCGGAGCAGTCTAGATGACCGCTGGGAGGCTTAACCTGAAGACAGCCTTGAGTGCCAAACTGATCAGAGCTGGTGATGGGGATCCATAAGGGTGTTTTGAGTAGGCACCTCAAAAGGAAGAAGTTTCAGTTTTAGGGTTGATAGAGTTGAGTGAGGAGAGAAACCCTTAGAGATCATCCAGTTCAGGACTTTTTGTAAAGCTTTGGGGATCTTACGAAGGCCTTCTAAGGGTTTTCACAAGGGCCCCAGAGAAGCCACGTGTATGGGGCTCTTACCATACTGGATTGCCTAAGATTTGACCAGAGCAGCTTGATTTTAATTCATGTGAGATTTTTTTTTAAAGATTTATTTATTTATGCA